GACCTGACTCGTCCAGTATAAAATATAACATGAATTTAGATTATATCTATTTTTGAATACAGATGGATATAATGATGAATCATAAAATTTAAACAAAGCTAATAACCTCAACAATAAAAAAATTAACATAATAATCAAAAATGAAAGAAAGAAAAATAACAATAATCAAATAAGTATATATGAAAGGGGTGATCTGAGGCATGCCGTCATTTTGGTGAAGTTGTATGAATTCTCTCCGTACAAGTGATAGCAGGCCATTATGATTTCAAGATATAAGTTATATCTACCGGTGGTTCGCGAAAGAATATATTAATCTAGTCTTCAAAATATACCGAAAAACAATATAATATAAAATATACCGAAAAACAATATAAAATATACCTCAGATGTATATGAAAGTTGAGAAGAGACAGAGTAAACATAAAAAATAAAGATTTTTTAAAGATAAGCTCAGTGTCTTACACTCCTCAGGTATCTAAAGTGCAAAATAAAGTATGGTAGATAACTCTATTCATAGACTTGCAACTTGTAACGTTATATAGTCATGTCAACAGCTTGGCTTCATTGAAAGTATATCAACTACTTCCTGCCAAGTGAGTTCACACGTGGAAGGGCAATGTCTGTATAGAAGGTTCTGTCTTTTTCTGACGAGTCAGTTTTTATGTATAAACTATGAACATTGACAATTTGTTCAAGAGAATTGCTTCTTAACTTTTTCCTCTGTTGATCCTTTTTATTTTTTATTTTTAGGAAAACATTTTTTAATGTGGTTAATATTTATGTCATGAATGTATTGAAAGGATTAAATATCTTTTGTCCATCTTTAAGTTGTATTTTCTGTGGTTCTTGCAATAATCCATTTATTGTGGGTAAATCTTATTCTCATTCGTTATTTCTTTAGTGTTAACTAATTTGAACAGCTGTGCATTTTATTCTGCAAGAATTATGGGGTGAAGTTCCTTATGCATACAAGACAACCTTGACTTGACTCTTACACCTTTTTAAATAAAATAACTAAAAAGAGAAATAAATTCTACTTATGGCCTCCTATGAATATGTATTTTAAAAAAGTATATATTAGTTTCAAAATAATACAGATTAAATGTCATAAAAAAAAATTCCTAAATTATTGGGATTTTGCAAGAAACCCACTAAATTATAAAAAATTCCCCTAAACTATTACTCCGTATTTTGTTGCAATTCACCCCATCAGGTCACAAAAGACAAAAGATAATTTTGCCCTTACTATTAAAGGGCACAGTCTCAAATGTTGTCACTTGAAGTTGCTTAGTTGTAAAGTGAATTCCAAAGGCTAATAAAAATTCGACTACACACCTTCAAGACATAAGGTTGACTAAATGATGTGCCCCTTGTAATCTGAAAACCATTTAAAGTTTGACACATCATCAACCTTTACAGAGCTCTGCAAGTCCCTCTCGCAACCACTAAAACCCCACCCATGAGACCATCGCGACCTCTCTTGCTGCAAAGTTTGGAAACCTCTTACCCTAATTAGTTGAGTTTACAAAAAGGGCAATTTAACCTGTTAATAGTTGAGAATTACAAAGAATCGAAATCAATTTGGGAATTCTCTTCATAGCAAAAAAACTCTAAAATTAGGGTTGAACCCTGTAGGGGTTCTTTTTGATCAAATAATATATAAATATATAATGGTGATATCAGGAATACAAATATGAAGGAAACAGAGAGATGCTTAGAGTAGGAGGAGAAGAATTAAGATTAAGATGGTGGAAGAGTGAGTATACAGTATCTTATGACAGCTTTCTCTTCTGGAGTTTGTTATTCCTTCATAGGACAGTACTACTTATAGACCCAGATTCCATTGGTTATTATCCAATGGTCCCTTCCGTTCATGGCTTTCTGCATGCATTACTCCTGATCCAGATTACGTGGGTAATCCATGGGATTTAGAAGTCTGAAGGGTCTAATCGTCTCGAGCCTTACATTGTGTTGCCATGTCATTTCTCCCTTAATCAAGGACATTAAATGTTGCTTGGCTGCCAGTTAGGCCTTGCTGAGAGTGAAGGCATCTCTTGACTTCTCATCCACCAATCCAAGATCCTCCTAAGTTTCCCAAACATAGATCCACTATAGCTGCGAAGGCCCTACCTTCGTTTCGTGCTATACGCGGTCTTCTAATAGCGAGCCCCTTGGGACTCCAGTTCCTTCAAAGTGATGTTACCTGGCATAACGCCAGGGCTTGGGGTGCTCGAGGATTGGTTCCTCGAAGCTTGATGGTCCTGGAGCGACATTAGGGCTTAGGGTGCTCGAAGCTTGATCTTTCGAGGCTTGATGGGCCTAAAGCAATGCCAGGGCTTAGGGTGCTCGAGGATTGGTTCCTCGAGGCTTAATGGGCTTAGGGCAATGCCAGGGCTTAGGGTACTCAAAGCTTGATCTTTCGAGGCTTGATGGGCCTGGGGCGATGCCAGGGCTTAGGGTGCTCGAAACTTGATCTTTCGAGGCTTGATGGGCCTAGAGTAATGCTAGGGCTTAGGGTGCTCGAAGCTTGATCTTTTGAGGCTTGATGGGCCTGGAGCGATACCAGGGCTTAGGGTACTTGAAGCTTGATTTTTCGAGACTTGATGGGCCTGGAGTGGTGCTAGAGCTTAGGGTGCTCGAGGATTGGTTCCTCGAGGCTTGATGGGCTTGGGGCGATGCCAGGGCTTAGGGTGCTCGAAGCTTGATCTTTCGAGGCTTGATGGGCCTGGAGCGATGCCAGGGCTTGGGGTGCTTGAAAGTTGGTCCTTTGAGACTTTTGACTTTTCAAATCGCCACGAAAAATTTGGTTGGCGTCGTTTTGACTTGTCAACATGCCATGCCAGCCTTCAATGAATGACACCCACGAACCCTCTGCAATCCAGTCGGGTTGGGTCTCAACAGGTGGGTCAATATCCACAAGGATTGGACACAGCGACGACAACGAATAACGAAGGCGACGATGGCGATCCACGATGACGATGGACAATAACAATTGGTGATGATAATCGGTAATTACGCCTGATGACGACTACAACTCTCGATTTGGGTTCGCCGAAACAAACAATTGGGTTTCAATTTGAACATCAATTCGGTGACTAGACCATGCTCTCAATTTGGGTTCGCCGAAATAAGCAATTGGGTCTAATTTGAACCATCAATTCAGAGATGAGTGAAAGAGAGGTGTGTCGCCGGCTGAGTTATGGTTCCGATGAGGAGTGTGAGGGTATCGACGGATAGGAGTGGTGACAAGCACAGATATATAGATATATATATATATATATAGGCACACGCACACATAGAAGGAGGGAGACAGCTACTGCTTACGCTGCCGTAGTTGGAGCGGCGAAATCTTGTGGTTGGGTTTGATGAAGAAGATAAATAGTGTTTGTAATGATAAGGTGTGTTTGGGTAATTGGGTGTAACAATAAACTAAGTCTGTGTTTGGGTGTAATGTTTATAATAAGGTGTAACACACTCTTTTTATGCTCATTAGGGCATTATAGCCATTAAGTATATATTGTGTGATAACGTGACTGTACAAATTATAGTTCAGGGGTTTGTTGATGATTAGCCACTAGTTTAAGGGAGTTTTATTTGCATTTAACCCAATAATACAGAATACAGGGTAATTTACATTTAAGCTTTATTTACATTTAAGCTTTATTTTATTTTTTTTCATGGCCAAGAAACTTGCACAGTCACTCTTTTTTAAAGATAGATGAAATATCATACCCTAAATTCTAGTGTTTTGCAATAAACTTCTTCCATTTATTTTTTATTTAATTTTATTTTTTTGGCTAAAAATCTTACTCATCTAAGTGATCTAACTGTGGGTATTACTTTGGACAAGAATACCTCTACAAGTTAAGGGTTGTATTTATTTATTTTTTATTATTATATATTTCGTCAAATTGTGTGAATTTAGGTAAAAGATTCTGTTTTTTTTTTTTTTTTTTAAAATAATAATATTTAAACTTATATTTTTTGTTACAATTCTTTTAATTAAAGAAAAACATCAATAAATTGAAATAAAATAAAATAAAATAAATTCATGGTTATGAGCACACACAACTACATATAACTATATAACGTCAACTCTTATTTTTTCTCTAATTGCACTCCATTTACCTTTTTTTGTATAAAAGAAATGACAAAAATTCATTGAATTCACCTTATTTTATAATGTCAATTACCATTTATACAACTTTAACATTTTTTTTTATACCTTGTTTACTTACTTTACTATTTTTTTTTTTTTTTTTTTCTTTTCATTTTTCAGTCTTGTCAAATATGTAACTCTTTTTTTTATATATAATTTTTTATAGGCCACATCTAAAGAAATAATTTAAAAATAAACATTTTTTTGGGGTTTTATCAAAAGATATAATTTATTCAATAGAATTTTTTTTTTTTTTTTTTTTGAATCCCCCCCCTTTTTTTTTTTTTTTTTTTTTTTTTTTTTTTTTTTTTTTGTTCTTGATAAAAGATATAATTTCTTCAATAAATATATTTTTTGGAGTTTCTTTTCCCTATCAAACGAGATAAAATTTTTAACGGTTATATTTTTTTTTAATTTAGTCAAAAGAGGTAATTTATTCAACAATTTTTTTTTTTTGGTCTGGTAAAAAAAAATAAAAAATTTAGTGAGTAGAGGAAATCTGAAAGGATAATTATGTCATTTAAAAAATAATAATCATTTACTTGTAAAATTAAGATTAAAATTATCATTTAATATAATATTGTATTATAATTGGAGAATAGTGGAGTGCCAATTTCACATCCCTTACTATTGATTATAAACTTGAGTGAACTCAATGTGTGTGTGTGTATATATATATATATATTATATTTTGTATTCATATTATTTGAAAAAAGTAAAACTTTTTTAAAATTGGAGTAAACTAAAAACGAAAATTCAAAAACAAAAAAAAAAATGATGGAATTCTTTTGTCGAACGACTTTTTTAAATATTTGTAATTAAAGACAATTTGGGCCACTAGGAATCCCAAACAGGCCCTATCTAGAAGATATAAAAAGTCTCTCATCTGGTAATCTTTCATCTCTCAATAGCGATATTAGGGTTACGAAATTGGGGTTCGTGTAAGGAGTCGAAGTAGAGGGGAGAGAAGCGTTCTTGAATCGGCGGCAGAGTTCACTGGTAAGCCCTCTCTTGTTGTTGTTTGTGTATCGGCAATTTTACAATCAGTTTTTTTGAGAGAAAGAACAGAGATACAAATCCATCTAGAAAAATCAGATCAGTTTCTTCTCTGTCTTTTACAGATATTTGTCTGACGTTTATTTATTTATTTTTCCTTTCCGATCGGGGTGGAATGGGATTAGATTTTCCTGATCTCTCCCCAAAAATTGATATTTAATTGCTCATCAACATCCATATACAAACACCTAAACAAAGAAAGAAGGATCTTGACGTTTGGAATTTTTCTTCGATTCGATCTTGACGTTTGGAATTTTTCTTCGAATCGAATATATGTGTGATTTGATATATATTTTTTAATATATCTATTATGTGATTTTGAAAATCAAATTTGAGAGTGAAATTTTGATAAATATTCAGAGGTATTTTTATTGTTAGCTAATCTTTTTGGTTGACTCTACCAGAGTGCAAAGTAGTAGTATCACAAGTCTGCTTGCGAAGGCTTGTTTCGGTGTATGAAACTTTTGATTCCTTTGTCTTTATAATTCTTATTTTATTTTATTTTTGTTAATTTTAAGTCAAGAAATTGACTTGTTAAGTGGTAGGATGTGATATTTATTTAATTTTCCTGAATTAATTTTTGTTATAGAACTGAAGGAAAAGATAAGCATGTGGTGTGGGGAGGGGTGTGAGATTCCAAAGCCTAAGAAATTCATTGAGGGCTGTGCAATTCCAAAGCCTGTGAAATTTCTTATTCCCAAGTCGGAGAACTTTGTTTGGCAAGAATGGACAGAGGAAGGATGTGAAATTCCTAAGCCTGAGAAATGCATTGAGGGCTGTGCAATTCCAAACCCTGAGAAATTTGTTGAGGAGGGCTGTGCAATTCCTAAGCCTGAGAAATTCCTTACTCCGAAGCCTGAGAAATTCCTTACACCGAAGTCCAAGAAATTTGTTTGGGAAGAATGCACGGTTGGCAGCCAAACATTTGAGGAAGTCAAGCTATCCGAGCAACTTAAACATCAAAACAAGGAAAACAAAAAGAGAACATGGGAGGAAATTGTTCGGCAAGAAGGCTTCGCTGGCAGCCGAACAGTTGAGGCTTACAATGAAAAAGTCAAGCTATTCGAGGAATTCGGACGTCGATTCGAGGAAGAAAGGAAGGAATGGGAAAAGACTCGTTCGAGGTTATTCGAGGAATTCAAGGAAGATGTGAAGGAATGGCAAAAGGCGTATTTGAGTTGTGGATATGCTCGGCCAAAATGCATGGTTGGCAGCCAAACATTTGAGGAAGTCAAGCGATCCGAGCAACTTAAACATCAAAACAAGGAAAACAAAAAGAAAACATGGGAGGAAATTGTTCGGCAAGAAGGCCCGGCTGGCAGCCAAACAGTTGAGGCTTACAATGAAAAAGTCAAGCTATTCGAGGAATTTAGTCATCAAAACAAGGAAAACTTCAAGAAATGGGAACAGAGGTATTCGAGGGATGGAGTTGAAGTGCCAGAGAAATTTGCTTGGCAAGAATGCACGGAGGAGGGCTGTTTCAATCCTAAGCCTGAGAAATTTCTTATTCCGAAGCCTGAGAAATTCCCTACTCCGAAGCCTGAGGAATTTGTTTGGCAAGAATGCACTGTTGGCCGAGCAACATGTGAGGATTGCATTGAAAAAGTCAAGTGCGTGAATCATCAAGTCGAGCAACTTGAACAAGAACTTGAAATCGTGAATAGAAGGAAAAAGAGGTGTTTGAGGGACGAAGTTGAAGTGCCGGAGAAGTTATCGAGGTTGGCTGCTGGTGATGGCATCAGAAACATCATCCCCACTGAGCACAAGCGAGTGAAGTGAGAAGGATAAAGGATAGGATGGGGGTTTGCTGTGAGGTGCTAAGGTTGGTTAAGATCCAGGCTCATTCATTTCCCTTTTCACTGCCAAAGTTTCTTTCAGTAATATATATTTAACTGACACCTTTCTTTGGGGAGGTTTTATTTTATTATTTTGGTATGTATTTTATGTCACTTATATGGTGTTTACATTTTATTTGGGTTGAAAAGTTCTGATTAAAATGCCATTTGTGTTTGAATTTAACCAGAATGAGGTGTCGTGCTAAATTCTGCATGGTCAAAAAATGGGATTGTTAGGGCTATATTCTTGGAATTTGGCAGTGAAAGCTCCTTCCTACAAGTGACCTTATTTTTGTTTAGTTGATTAAATTTTTTGAAGTTGGTTGTTTTCAATGTTTCCCAGTAGTTGAATTGTTAAAAAAGAAAACATCTTAGTTCCATATTTCGTAGTTAAAAAACTCTCGACCTCCTAAAAACAAAATGGACTCTATTGTCTCTGCTTCTTGTTTTGCCTCTTTTTTTTTTTTTTTTTTTATCTCTGGGGGCTCATCAAACTTTTCTGCCTATTTATTTATTTATAATCTCTGGGGACTAATCAAACTTTTCTGGAAACAAACTCTTCAATGCTTGAATCTCATGTTCTTCGATGGCCTCTGCAGCGTTGGAATGAAGTATTTTTCCAACTGGTCCAATAATAACTAAAGCGGGTAGTGTTATGGGATTGAGCTCAAAATACACACATAGCTTCCGCCAACTCTTGTCTTTGAAGGGCAAAGCGAGCTTCCGCCAACTCTTGTCTTTGAAGGGCAAATCGAGCCAAGGCATGCTCGCAAAACTCTGCTTGATTAGTTCTGCATCAGCATCATAACGGCAGAATAACATCACAAGTTCAAAGTTCTCCCCCATCTCCTTCAGCTTTTCATAAGCTTCCACGAGTTTTGGGGTGAACTCAAGGCATGGATGATATGAATTGAAAGAAATGCAAACCCCAGCTTCCCTTCGAGCTCAGAGACAGGTACCTTGCAAATGCATTGTTAAGGAAAAAAAATTAGCCCCAATGAAAACACATTATATGGGAACTAACGACATCTGGAATTTCGAGACCAAGATAGATCTCAAGGTTTGTTCCTTCTTAGTTGCTTCTGACTGCTCCTTTATCTCTGTGATCCTTTCTGAAGTGAAAGGGTACAGTTCTTCTCCATACCAAAATATCATCTCAACTCCTCTCACTACACTAAAATCCTCCCCCTTCGAGGTGGGGAACCCCCTCAACATTGAACAATTTTTACGTGCCTCTGAACCAGAAAATGGGATAGCGAGCCAAGTCATGTTGGCAAAATACTTCTCGAAGAACATAGCATATGGATCATTGGAGACGAGAATGACCTCAAAATCACCTTTGGAGGAGAGTTTATTGTACACCTCAACTACCTCGGGTGAATTCCTGACAGCAGCCAGAAGTTGATTTTGAAGAGTATAACCCAATCTTCTTCCCCCTCAATTTATCAATTTTAACCTGTACAACTCAAATAAGTATGGATACACATGGATCATTGAAAAAAAGTGAACACATTCAGGAAAAATAAAGTGAACACATGATAAAATTACAATCATTTAGTCACTTAATCATGTTGCTACTGAAATAGTTTGTACGAGATGGCTAAACCAGCAAGACTAGATCGAAAATTGTTCCACCAATAAGAAGATGAGATATGTGGGCAAAACAAACGAGGAGACACAAAGACACAGTGTTGCAAAAAGTTAAGATGGAAATGCATTTATGGTAAGCCCATTAAAGAAAAACTAAACTCTAGCATGAGATTGAATAACTTGTTGCTCAGTCAGCAAGCATTCTGAGATGCTTCTTTGCCAAGCACACACTAAGCTTCTAAATCCTTCTTCAGGGGCATGTGGATACATTCCTATCAAGTTAATTAACCTACTAAGTGAAAAGTTGTTGAATTTATTATCGATAAAGTATTTCATTTATTCATTCAATGAAACATTATGGCAACCCCTCAGGCTCATTCCTTTCTTTATTAGCAAGAGGATCAATGAAAATAAAATGGGCGATATTACAACTACTATTGAAGCACCTAATAGTTGGAAAAGTTTCCTAAGAACCTTATTCCTTGTTTACTCACCATGCTTCCCGTCTTCTTCCAAAGCACATTCTAGATCGAGATCAAAGTCGCACTCTTCCAGTTAAGTCCAACCGTGACACAGCCATCGCACCTAAAAAAGGGACGCTGACAGAGCACCAGTTGATGCTCCTCGTGAAGCATGTGCTTCACCTTCTTAGGCCACCGCGTCACCATTTCCTCAATCTCCTTCAAACGCGCAATGAAAAGAAAATGGGAGATAATTGCAACTTTTTCAAGCATGAAGCACCTAATAGTTGCAAACGTTTCTAAGAAAAGAAAATAATTTGCCCATCATGCTTCCTGTCTTCTTTCAAAGCACATTCTAGAAGGAGATCAAAGTAACACACTTTTAAACTGAATGACCAATAAAGTCCGATCGTGCCACAGCCATCGCAACTAAAACAGGGACGCCAAGAGAGCACCAGTTGATGCTTCTTGTGGAGCACATGCTTCACCTTCTTAAGCAACCGCTTCACCATTTCCTCAATTTCCTACAAACGATCATCTGTAAAGGGATAAGCATCAACCCCATGAGCTTTTATAAGATCAGTAGCCTTTGTAGTGACTGGATGACCCAATGGCTACAACTATGGGGGTGCCCCAGATATTGACTGTTAAATAATAAATAGGTAGGCACTTCTCACATCATCGCCAAAGGGGAGTGCCAGCCATGGCATTCTTGTGAAGAATTCATTGAGGCTTGGTCATTGTCAATAGAGAGGAATATCACCTCAACTAAATTATTTTCTCCTTAATCTTGTGGTTTACTTCAACGAGCTCTGTAGAAAAAGCGATCTGGCCTCCCATTAGCTGAGAAGTAAAGGAGGATGTTCCTTCCCACAGGCTCAGACACTAGACAAAATATTATGAAAAAGCGATTTGTCACACGTAATGACAGATCACGGCCATTACATTAAAAGCTTGTGGTAAGAATGGATTTCATCCTAGTGCTCGAAAATATTATTCCAAAGCTTTTGTGTGTTCTTCATTACTTGTGTGGGTAATGCCCATGTTATTGAGTATATAACTTTGATCATAGGATCAATTTCTAGTCACATAGCTTCATAGCAATTCTGTAAAGCTTTGAATAATTTCCTTTGTATTGAGCTTACAACCATTATGGTCGTCATTCATTTCAAAGAATCTCCATCCCAGAACAGCATGTGAGGTTTTCATCTCATGTGGCTCCTCCCTTATGTGCATAATGAGAATAATGTGCATGGAAACAGAGAGGATCAGAGACTTGAAATTGAAATGGAAGAATTTTTTTAATGATCATATGAATGGAGACAAAGGTAAATGCATACTCATTACCACAAACCAGCAATATTATACTCTTTGCATTGCATATAGGAACATGACGTTATAAGCTACGATTCAAATCAATATGGTCACTATAAATAAATTACTCTAATCCAAGTAACATTAGATGAAACAAATTAGATCCAATAGGTTAATAAAATTTGATCTGTTAGTGGAATACTAACACTCAGTAAATATTTTACCTTAGATCCGTCTTTCCTAATCACAAAATCTTGATTTCCTAAAACTTAAAATGGACTCATTTTTCTCTGCTTCTTGTTTTGCCTTCTCTCTGGGGGCTCTTCAAACGTTTCTGGAATCAAACTCTACAAATTCCTTTCCGACATGTTGCAGTATTTTGAAAATAAGCCAGTAGTAGTGCAGCACAGACAGTTCCAAAATTATATTGAGGTTGAATTTTACTAGGTTCTGAAAAGATAGCTAACAAACGGGATAAAACTGGGAAAGAAAGGAAAGATGGACTTCTTAATTAAAATTCTGGTTTTTTATAGTAGTGCAAGTTGTAGTACAGTTACTAAAAAAACATTCTGGTATAAGCCCCATAGCGCATGAATGGAACTCAAGAAAAAGATGAACAAATTTTACCCCGAGTATCATAGTATAGAAAACAATGCAATTAAAGTGTAAATGCCTGAACACCCAGCTAATAACTTCCTTTTCAAACTCTTTTCAGTAAAAATTTATCCCTTTGGGAGCAAAAACACATGGCATAATTAAGGTTTTGGTGTGATTGCACTTCCCAAAAGGCATTCCATGGGATGAACTCTATATGTTTGATTTATATAAAATTTATTGAGAACTCAAATGACTTAATCCGTTTCTCAATTTCTTCCCAATAAGGAAAACACATCACAACAAGAATTTAATTCGTCTGAATGGATAGAAGTAGTGGAAGAAAAGAAGAAAATGACAGATAGCATTTTCCGAATCGTTCCAAGGTTCGAATGAACCTGGGAAAATCATTCCAAGAAACTAGGAGAAGGAAAACTAATAAGAAGTTCAGAAGAAAATAAAAAATAAAATGGAGGAAAAATATTTACTTGTTCTCCATCGTTATGAATAAGTCAGTCTCTCCCTGAGTGAGTGAGGAGTAACTTGAGATCGTAACAATCTCCACTGCTGCCTTTTGTAGTTCCCTCATCAGCCATTTCTAATGTCGAAATCTGTACAGTCAATATCTTAATGAGTCAGGGCCCATGCTTTGAACAAATTATCATTACACTTCAGAAAACTGATATTCTATGGGGCACGATCACATTAGGTACTCTTCTTTTTAACTAAACGTTACTCTTCATCAGACGAGACAAGAATGATCTCGAAATCACCTTTGGAGGAGAGTTTATTGTACATTTCTACCAACTCAATGGTGAAATGCTGACAACAGCCCAAAGTTGATCTTGAAAAGTATAACCCAATCTTCTTTCCCCTCAATCTGTCAATTTTAACCAGTAAAACTCAGATAAGCATTGATACTCTTGGATTATTGAAGAAAAGCGAACGCATTGGTAAAGGTATAACCATTTCTTCCCATAATCATGTTGCTAGTGAAATTGTTTATATGATATGGCTAAATCAGTTGGAGTACTAGATCAAGAATTGTTGCATCCAATTAGAGAAGATGACATATGTAATGTTTCCAAATTTTACCATTTTCCAATTTCTGGAATTTTCTAATTTTTTGAGGGTATTTTTGACTTTTCTCGTTCAACGTGCCGGACACCATGTGGTATGCTGGGTGTAATACTTGATATTTTAAAAGATTTATTAATTGAAATTAAATGAA